GAATATTATACAGAAAAGTCACATAATAAAGAGGCATAATATTTTTATGATTTGTTGTATACTTCCCAAAAACCAATATGGAATGGGTGCACCACTCACTCAGAGTTATTCATTGATGTTAAAATGTTAAGCATCAAGGCAAAATATAATGTACTTCATGAATATTTTTAATCAATTCATTGGACTACTTAAGAAAACTAACCTGAGAGATAATATTATTCCTATAGATTTATATTAGACTAAGAAGTTAGTTTTCAAGCTTGATTTAACATACATAAAGATAGATTGTTGTGTTAATAGATATATGTTATTCTATAAAGATGATCATTCAAAAATTGCATGCACTTATTATAATACATTAAGATTTAAACAAAAATCTATCACAAAAAGACAGCTGAATGAAGTACCAGTCAGTAGGATATTTTATTTACCCATAATTCCTATATTATAATTATTATATGCATCCATGAGATCTGTTGCACATATGAGATGACATAATGAATATATTTTACAAGAAATTTTTATTACACATCAGTCAAAAGCAAAAACTTGAAAACACTTTAATCGTACACATCCCACCTTTGCCATAGAATAAAAAATATAAGATTGGGTTTATGCGTAGTGGTTTTACTCCACTTAGCCAGTCTACTTCACCTTACTCATACTGGCCCGTGATACTCACCCCATATAATCTTCAACTAGAGTTGTGTATGACAACTCCTTGCATGTTTCTGACGCTTATCACTCCAAGGCCACATAATCTAAAAGCAAAGATTGATGTATTCTTATAACCGTTAATTGATGATTTAAATTTATTATGGGAAGATGGAGTAAATACATATGATCTCCACCGAACAAAACTGTATTATGAGGGCAGTATTACTTTGGACCATTGGTGACTTTCCTACGTATGGCATGCTCTCAAGTTGGAGCACTTCTGAAAAATTAGCTTGTCCATATTATATGGAATATATAAAATCATTCATTTTAAAGCATGGAGGGAAGAACACTTGGTTCGATTGTCATCGTATGTTCTTACCCACAGGTCATCCATCCAGGTAAAATAAGAATGCTTTTGTTAAAAATAAAATGGTGATGTCACAGCCTCCTCCTATATTAAGTATTGAAGAAATATTTGATAGAGGTTGCATGTTAATTGAAACTGACGGTGATACGTGTGTACTAATTATATTTCAAACATACAAATAAAATTGAATAAATTTCTTTTACAATTAACATAATTTTCAGGTTTCATCTTTCAAAGCAACTAATACATAAAATACGAGATATTCTATGAAGCAGGCATGATGCTCCTTATATTTCTTGGAAGAAAGTTCTGAAAGAAGTACGGGACTTGTGGTTTAGAGAGTTTGAGGTTAGTTATTATATAAATATATTAAGCATTATATCTTATTTACATAAGCTAATACAAATATATATTCTTTATTATACTTTTTTAAATGCATAAAGATTTATTTTGCTGTCACAATATAATGATAAAATCAGAAAGAATTTTGAGAAGCGTGGGTCGACTCACATGTGAGACATGTTTATAGATATTATAAAGTCATGTGAGCGAGCACTCTGGATTGGTGAGAGTGTAGGGCTGAGTTGAACATTGCTTGGGTTAGCACATACTATAATAGGAGGAGGGATCAAAATAGACAGAACAAAGCTTCTGATGTTGGGGGCATGAATAGTTCCCTTCATATTGGGGTTCTGTTCCATATATTGAGCACACAAGACATTTTGGTAAGGAATTTTAAATTTTTTTAATAATTTACTTTAATATGAATGATAATATATATTTGTTACAAAAAAGGTATTGGGTAGAGAATCGATCCATGTTGAATTGTATAGTTATGCCCACAAGCGATAGGTGGACCATAAATGGGTTCATGAGCAAGGGAGGAGAGCCTATGTAAGTATATAAGTTTAATTTTTTATGTCATGTATAAATTGTTTAAATTTTTATTAACTTTTATAGGAGGAGTATACACGGCTTCGAGAGAGCCAGGCTGTAGTAGATGAAGGTTCTTCTAGTGGATCAACAAAATATTCTGACTATCTCTCTTGGTCGCAAGCGGTAGGAGGAATGTAGCACGACAGAGTATATAGTTTAGGCTCGCAAGCCTATGCATATAAGGGATAGATAATTGATAGCTCTAGCTTCACAGCAAATACCAGGAGTCTTTATATAGCCAATTGGTCTACCTTTGCAGTCGAGCTAAAGAAGATAAGAAAAGCATAATTTGAATGACACATACATATTCAGCAGTAGATGGAGATGCAGCACACTCAGGTGCAGTTGCAACAAACTCAAATGTTAGAGAAATACAAAATATGAGGGAGCAATTAAGTGAGTAGAATACAACATCAATAGTGGAGGAGAATGAATCAGAGTAGATTTTTATTTTAATGTTGTGGACATATATTATTATGTATTTGTAGATATATTTACTTATTTATTTTATGGACATATGTACTTCTTTATTATTAGATATTTGGTGATGTTTGTTGATGATATTATTCTTGTTTTTGTTATTGAGTGCATGCTTGGTGATGTTCTTGATTAGAGCTAGATGTTTGAATGTATATAACATCGCATTTTTTCTATGCAGGTTTGTGAAAATCAATTTTAGAAATCAGATGATTATTATTCTGTATACATTACAGATTTCCAACAGATTATCCACCGAAAACACTGCCGACAACACGATATGATGAAACTAAATCGTTGTTTTCGGTGTACCTTTATGCCAAAATTTATGGCGGTATATCCCCCGATTTTGTCTGTCGATAATCATGCGACGGTCACGGGTGGCATATTATCTATTGGTTGTTCCATCGTACAATATCCACCAGAAATACCGGCGGAAGAAATGCTAGAATTTTCCACTTTAAAAGATGTTGGTTTCTTAAATTTTGCACCAAAAAACTGTTAGAAAACGAAAATTTTTTCGATGGAAATGTTACACCGGTATAGATTTTCCAACGCGTAAATTGTCGTCGGAGTAGTTTTCGCTAGTATTTTTCTAGAAATAAGGATTTTCCAATGGATTTCTTGTGTTACCGACAGATTTTGTCTACCAGTAACAACGCGTTTTCCTATAATGCCACAGGTTCCAAATCCAGCATTGTAACACTCCTAAGGAAAAAAATTATAGATTTTTTATTCGTACATTTAGTGTAATGCCCAAAATTAATATAAATAGTTAGGAGATTAGTACAATCACTAATCTATCACAAGCTCTTGACTATATAACAGTAAAAGAAAATGCATAATAAAATCTAATGAAGAATCTGACGATCATTATCAGTGTCTGTAGGCTAAAAAAAAATGATACAAAAATTTTCATTACATTACCTTTACCAAATCGGGTCATAATAAGTGTAACTACACAACTTTAATATGTATACATTTGGACACTTAACACATTTTTTTTTGTTAAGATATATCGTAACATTATAAATTAAAATAATATTAAAAATAACATAAAATTTAAAAAACATTGTTGGATTAGCCCAAATGAGGTAGCTAAATTTTATTTTTTTATGATGTGCAATGATATAATATATACAAATAAACAAAATAATAAAAAAGCACATCAATTTATTATAAATTTGTTTGTTTAGCCAAAATAAAATACTTTTTTTTCTTTGCTTATCCACCCATCACATCGCTTCTTTTTATTTGTAGGAATTTTTACTATCCTATTCAGCGGATTTCAAACAAAATTTATCTTAAATCCCATCAAATGAATATGGGGACCTTAAATAATATTATCTTAATAAATTTTTTCAGCCCATTATTAATTAAATTTAAGATATTTTAAACCTCATTCATTTATAGTACTTAATAGAATTTAGGTTTTATCTCTCATAAAATTTAAATCCTAAAATAAATAGATAAGGGCCTATTTGATTTGAAGTAGAGTAGGTGAAAAATAAATTATTTGTATTGATTTTGATAATATTGATGTTTGATTATATGAAAAAAAATGCTGAATAAAATTAAAGGAATGTATTGTAAAATATTTTAGTTCATTTCTCACCGCAAAGCAACCTCATTTGTTGTTGCCCGTAGCCAACCACTATCGTCAGCTATCGTCGCCATCCCAACACTCCTTATTCTAGTCATCGCTATCATCACTATCACTCGTCGTCGGTCATTGCCACAACGCCATCACCATGGGCGGATCCACCCATAGCTTAGGGTGGGCAAATGCCCACCCTCAAATTTTTTTTTTTAATATTTAGAGGGGACTTTGCTTATCCACCCATCACATCGCTTCTTTTTATTTGTAGGAATTTTTACTATCCTATTCAGCGGATTTCAAACAAAATTTATCTTAAATCCCATCAAATGAATATGGGGACCTTAAATAATATTATCTTAATAAAATTTTTTCAGCCCATTATTAATTAAATTTAAGATATTTTAAACCTCATTCATTTATAGTACTTAATAGAATTTAGGTTTTATCTCTCATAAAATTTAAATCCTAAAATCAATAGATAAGGGCCTATTTGATTTGAAGTAGAGTAGGTGAAAAATAAATTATTTGTATTGATTTTGATTATATTGATGTTTGATTATATGAAAAAAAATGCTGAATAAAATAAAAGGAATGTAGTGTAAAATATTTTAGTTCATTTCTCACCGCAAAGCAACCTCATTTATTGTTGCCCGTAGCCAACCACTATCGGAGGCTATCGTCGCCATCCCAACACTCCTTATTCTAGTCATCGCTATCATCACTATCACTCGTCGTCGGTCATTGTCACAACGCCATCGGCCCATCACCATGAACACCGTCATGGCCACCACTATCACCGCCACCACCACTCGTCCCCAAATAATTATCACATCAAATAATTTTGAATTTTGATAATCTCAAAATTTATTAAATGTGAATTTTAAAATTTATTAAATCGTATAGAAGTTAAATTGTAAGGAGCTATTTTTTTGGTTAATGGTATTTATAATCCTCTCCTCTTGTCATGCGGGCCAGTCTACCTCCCTTGCTCCCTCCCTTTTTCCTTCGAAGCCCAGTAAATGGATAGCTTTTCAGCGAACTCGGGGGCGCGATTCCTTGCTCTGTCAAGGAGGATAACTTCCCCATTGAAGTACCCCCGCGGCCGAATGGGGAAGAGGGCAGTGAGAGGTTCACTCGTTTCTTTGCCTCCTTTGGGAGCCAAACCCTCCAGGATTGTTTGTATGGCCGTAAGTTTCTCCAGGATTGTTTGAAATCAAATCTCTTTCCGCATGTATCTTTCTCATTCTCTTCGAATTTCCTTACATAACTGTGAATATTTCAGAATTTTGCAAGTAAGTTTTCCTTGTCAGATTGCATACTTGCTACTGATTTGGTTATTCCACTTTATAATGTTTGAGTTTTATAACGTGGTTATCTGAGCGGATTGTACCTGCAGTGATTGTTTATGCTATAAACTTTAATGGTGGTAAATAATCTAATGGATGATAAAAGTTACTTCTTTGAGTGAAAGTGAAATCTCTACATGTATCTGATGATGATACTGCATCTATTTCTGTATGGAAATCGAATATGGCATTCAACGTGGTCAGAATATTCATGATTTATTTACTTGTGTGAATTTGTTTTGTTTGGTGGAAATTAGCTGAACTTTACTCGTGCCATCTAGGATCACAATGCTTTGAAAGAGAAATAGAGAATGAGTTCTATAACCCAAGAACGAGCCGGGGAACTAGAGTCTCTGTTGATCTGTCACTGAACTGAATGCAAGGAACGAGTGGACCCTTAAATGCTAAAATGATAATACCTTTTCAAATAGATTTTCTTAAATAAAGTTTCTGTAAGGCTCAGTAGTTGTGATTCAAATTGAAAAAAAGCAAATAAAAACTTATGTGCAACCTCCATGGTACAAGATTAATCTAATCTACGTTATTATCTATTTCATCCTCTTCATCACTCATTCTCTCTTCCCTATTATTGTATTCGCAGGCCTCCATCACATAATGAGGTTGTTTATGCTTTAAAAAATATAAATAAATTACATCACAGATACAAGTGATTAGGAGTCTTACACCAAGCCTCTCTCCTACGCAACATCTTAGTGATGTTGTCCACTGGGAGGTGTTTTTAATGCTTGAGCCTCACTTTGTACCATGTTTTTGAAAAGTAGACTGGATTGGTGGTCATATTCTGAATTAGAACATATCTGATATAGTGATAAAATTGAATAAACAGGGAACTATATTAAAACCCTGTGAGTTTATCATATTATAAATTTCAAAGACATTTTTTAGTTTAATTTCTCCATTGTCTTCCACTGCCTGCTTATGGTTGTATTTTGTATAAATTGAAGGCTTCTAATATCTTTCCAAAAGAGCCCCACTCACTTTGTACGGAGGAAGCAAGCTGTAAGGTCCTCTCCATTGTAGTAGACCATTACAGTTGGCGTTTCCTCATCAATGGTTTAGGCCATTAAAACAAGCTCTTCTCTTTTACAGACGATGGATATCTCCATTGAGTCAACTAGAAAAAATCACGAGTGGAGTTTGTTCAAGGGATTCCTATTTCTTCTTCTTAAGCTATGCTCTCATTATTCCTTACAACCTTCTACTGTTATTATTTCCATTGTTCTGAAAATTGTTTCATTTGCCTTCACATCTATGGTTACTTCTTCCATGATTGTTTCTACACCACTGCCACCTGTGAAACATCCAATGATGACTACTTTGTTTGTCTCTCTTAAAAGCTAGGTTACATTTTTTATTTTATTTTTGTAGTCCATTCTTTGATTCACCGCATACTCGGTGTCCCACCTCAAACATTGTGCACTTTGTTTGTGCTTCAAAGAGATCAAAACTCCTTGTTGTATTCTGTCTGCCCATTGACAACCTTGGTTTTTATGGCACAATGCATCACTTATGACCAAATCAATGGAAGTGGAATGTTCTTTATTAATATCCTTTGGTACCAAATGCTTTTGTGCATGTTCCCAAATTGCAAGCCAGATATCCAGTGTATTAGTTGGTCAATTTTTTAATGTTAGATGAATCTTCAGGACTTACTAAAATAATTTAAACAATGTAGATTGTCATTTTGGGGATGGGATTCTTTATTTAAATGAAAGATTGTCATTCTCTTTTGATAGAATATAAGTCCCTTTTAATAGCAGTATAGATAAACATACACACATATAACTTTATGGACTAATTAATAGTTGAAAAATTATATAATGATTCATCTTAAAATTTGTTTTGCTTTGTAAGCATTGCGGATAAAAAATTACAAGGCAACAATATTTCTGGCTATGATGCCAAAGTTCTATGGAAAAAAAATCTTCATTGTCCTTTGTCATATATAAAGTCATTTACATATATCCAAAAAAGTGTCAATTATATGTTATCCAAAAAGGCTATTGTTTTTTGAAGTATGAAACAAGTATCCACAACTATATGCATCCATGAAGTCATATACCAACTAATTTCTAATGCAGATTCAACGCCTTCATGGAACTCAGTATACTTCCAAAGAGAAGGATGTTGCTACATATCTTAAGACCTGACTGCCCCACTAGAAATAGTGTTTAGTCCATGTCATTCATATCTCTGGTCTCTTGCAACTGAAGCAGATCATTTAAACTGTATCATTGCGGTTATTTAATGGCACATAAATTTGTTGGTGTTGTGTATGACCTCATTTTTATGAAAAAGCATGAGTTGATGAATCTAGTGAAACCCTAGAAAGAATAACAACTTTTAACCTGAATGATAATTATTTCTTATCATCATCACCATTATTAGCATTATCCCTTCTAGTTGTGATCAGTTTTGTAAGTCCATCAGCATTAATTTATGTTGTATTTCATATATGGTGCTAGTTGTAGTTTGTAGTATACAACAACAACATCAAGCTTTTATCTCACTACGTGGGGTCAGCTGCATGAACACTTTTTCTCTATTGTGTCCTATTAAGAGTCAAATTCTCATTTATATCTAATAAAGAAAGTCATTTCTAATATTTTCAAATCAAGTCTTTTTAGGTCTAACTCTACATTTCTTAACATAAGCCAAATCTAATAAATTTACTCTCCTAACCGGATTGGAAGGCTGCCATTTTATGTGACCAAACCATCTAAGACGGCTCTCTCTAATCTTATATGCCATTGGAGCTACTCCAATCTTTTCACGTATATGCTCGTTTCATATATTGTCTCTAAGAGTAAAGCCACTCATCCACCCCAACATTCTCATCTCTGATTCTCATCTCTGTAACACTTAACTTAATATTATGCTTCTCTTTTAATGGCCGACATTCAACGCCATAAAATATTATATATCTCACCTCCATCTTATATAATTTTCCCTTAAATTTGACGGGTGCTTTTCTATCACACAACAAGCCAGATGCATTCCTCTATTTCAACCATTCAACCTGAATTCTACTAATAATATTCCCATCTTTTTCACCATCACTCTGAACAATAGATCAAAGATATCTAAAATATGTACGTTTATTAATGACCTATGTTGCACGGATACGCCTATTTACGAGGCATGCCAGACACATATTGGATACGGATATGCCTACGGTACAACACGAATACGTGTCAGATACGACTTTGTCATGTCCAATTAAAATATTATTTAAGTTTGACCGGACACGCGTGTCGGATACGACTTTGTCATGTCCTATTAAAAAATGAAAAAAAAGCAGAGCTGTAATTTTTCCTATTCATTTTGGTTATCCGCTCAATATCCTTATTCATTTATGCGGCTTAAACATTTCGGCAAGCTAGGTTTTTCGTTTCCACATAGGTGTTCGTCTTCTTCGTTATAGTCAAAGGAGCGGCTTGACGACGCGAGCATAGAAGTGGACAGGATCATCCTTCGTCGACAAAGAGGCTCAACGACGCGAGCATTAAAGCCGACATGATCCTTCGTCGACGGAGCGACTCGACAACACGAACAGTGAAGGCAACATGAACATTGAAGGTTCATTTTCCTCGTTCTTCATTTTCTTAATCGTAGGCTCGGTACCAAAACTCGGTACTGCTCGGTATCGCTCAGTACTCGGTACCGCTCGGCACCGGAACTCGGTACCGCTCGGCACCGGAATTTGGTACCGCTCGGCACCGGAACTTGGTACTGCTCGGCACCAGAACTCGGTACCGCTCGTACTGTTCGGTATAGAGGGGTACCGAATGGTACCAACACGGGGTAGCGCCCCCCTAGAAGACCTGGCATAGGCACAACATATATACACTTTTAATTAAAAATTTTCATGTTTTAAATTTATGTGGATTAATTTGTGTCAATCCTTCGTAGGATAATGAGCTCTAGTGGTGTAGGAATTAGGTCTGATGATGGTCCATCAGAGACCAATATTGAAGATAACAAAGGGTTTTGTAAAAAATTTCGTTTTTCTTTCGCAATTTCTTTACGAAAACTTTAAAGGAGGATTAGAGGAATGTTTTAGCAATGAGAATGTAAAGATTTAAGAGAATTTTGGAGAAAGAAAAATTAGGGTTTTTCTTACATTTAGAATTTTGACGAATCCCCTTTATAAATGTTAATCCTAAGTTTATTAGAAATGCTTAAATGAAGAAAAATTAGGGTTTTAGTAAATTTTTAATTTTAATGAATTATTTTGATTATTTTAATCCGAAAATTATTATATTATTATTATAATATGTTAAGGATCAATTTAGAATCAATATTTTAGTGAAATTGAAGATTTATGATTTTTCAAAATTTAGGTATTTATTAAATCCGAAAATCAATGTTTATTTAATTAATTATCCTTAATTTTCGTTAGGAATGGTTAAAAGGAAAAATGTCGGGTTTAGCTTTTAGACTTAAGAAAATTGATTTCTAATTGTGACAGGTTTACTTTATAAACTTTCTTAGGTAGTGATCGTCAAGTTTAAGGAGAAGGACTTGCATCGAAGCGATGTACAGTGTTTAAATTGAGGTAGGTACTTGTATTTAAATCAGATTCATGTCTCTAAATTATTTAAATTCTCTTTTATGTTAAGCAAACTATGTTCAGCTTATAAATGTCCTTTTTCATGCAAATTTTTATATGTCAAAATTGATTTGTATTAGTACGTAAGAATGACTTTATAATTGCTTAATGTATCATACTTGAATTCTTGATAAACCTGGAAAACATTTATGCATGAAAGAATTGAACGGACACTTATGAATTTCTGAATAATTTAACCCTATAAGATATATTAGATTGCATATGCATGTTGATCCGGAAGTACCAAACAAATGGTAATGGGGCTTTCATAAGCCAAATGGTAATGGGGTTCTTCGGAGCCAAATGGTAATGGGGTTCTTCGGAGCCAAATGGTAAAGGAAATGGCCTAAAATATGACTGCGTACCTGATCAGTACGAAAATTGGTGCTTCCGGGACGGGTGAATATTTTATGATTAAAGTATTTGATGCATATAAATGAAAGGATTTGATGAAAAGAAAAGTTGATGAAAGGAAATATTTATGAAAATGAAAAGCTTTAAGAAAATGATTATATAACTCTTGTATGAAAATGATATTCAATTTATGCTTATCAATGTTTGATTCTATTTTTCCCAAAAGAAATAAATGTATTATTTTTATTTAAGTCATGAATTTGAGATGAATACATGTTACCTGCTGAGCGTTGTCTCATTCCTCGTTTGGAAATTTTTTTCAGGAGAAAAGTAATGGCTGCACGACGACCTTACACTTATCGTCATAGGGGACCTCAGGAGGATGAAAGGTTCCTTGTTATGTTTTAGTTTGAGTCTAAGTTTATTTTTCCATGCAGTTCGTGGGTTTGAATTTAAAGTTTGGAGTTTATGTAATGAATGTTTAAAGTTTAGTAGTTATTTGAGACAGTTAATGGTTTGGTACTTTTATTTCATTTCGGGTGTAATTTTAGTGGCTCTTTCAATTAATATTTGGATGATGTTTAAAGCATTAATATAAATGGTTTATGTTTATTTATGTTTTTCTGTACGACCTTTTTGCTCCCGCCTCGTTAACTCGGGATAGCCGGGTCGGGTCGTGATAGTCTACTTGCAGAGCAAGCATATCCTCATATTTTCTGAACATCATGTATTGTGTATACGCTTAATCTTGCCTTGAAGAATATTTGTGCATTTAAGAATACCGAGACAAACAAAATCACCTATAATTAATGTCATTGGATCACAATAATTGTTGGAGATGCAGTTGTAATTAAAAATTTTATTATAAATCACTCCATGAGACTCTTTATGTTCAATGATTTCTCTAATTTGAAGATACATGCAGTTGCTGAAACTCGGTTTGCCTCAATTATAATGATGTTGAGAATATTTAAAAAAAAATTAAAAAAATGCTCTTCAAGCTATGGTGATTAGTGACAAATGATCATGTTATAGGGAAGATGATGTTGGAAAGGCTAGATATGTAAAGGAGAAGCTATTAGATGATTTATGGTGGGATGAGATTGAATACATCATAATTTTCACATATCCAATTTATGAGATGTTGAGAGTAGCTAATACGGATAAGTATTGTTTACATCTCATTTATTAGATGTGTGATTCAATGCTAGCCAAAGTAAAAGAAATTATATATAGACATGAGAGGAATACACTTTATGAAGACTCAAACTTCTAGGATGTTATTTATGCTATTCTAGAAGATAGGTGGAGCAAAAATAATACACCTTTACATTACTTGACTCATTCTCTAAATCCCAGATAATATTCAACATTTTTCATTATTAATTCACAATTTTTTGTTTATTAATTTCAACATTTTTTTCATTATTTTATTTTAATATTTTTTGAATATATTCAACTAAAAAATATCTTCAAGTGGATCATCAAAGAGTTTCTCCACAGAAAGATTTAGAAATTTCAAATATGATGAAGACATCTTTAAAGCGTTATTTTCCAAATGAGGAGGAGAGAAGAAGTGTCAATATTGAGCTTGATAAATTTTTTGATTATTTAGAGGACTTTGGTGACCAAGAGTCATTGCGTGATAGGTGGAGAATTGATCCGAAAATGTGGTGGATTATACATGGAGCTTCAGCACCTCTACTTCAAACAATCGCCATAAAATTGCTTGGCCAAGTTTCATCCTCATCATGTTGTGATTACTTTCTTAATTTTTATGTATGATTTATATATTATAATGTCGTATCCGCGTCGTATCCGTATCCTGTATTTTTAAGAATTGACGTGTCCCGTATCCATATCGTGTCATATCCGTGTCGCCGTATCCGTATCGGTGCAACATAGTTAATGACTTGATTGCCCAATATCGCAATCCCCCCACTAGATCTATTACTACTAAACTTATATTCCATGCATTTAATTTTAGATCTACTCAAACAAAAACCATTAGACTCTAAGCTTGACCTCCATAATTCAAGTTTACCTTCAACTCCCTCTCTAGTCTTATCCACAAGAAGAATATCATTAGCAAAAAAACATACACCATGGTACATCCTCTTACAAATGTTTAGTAAGAACATCCATGACTAAAGAAAAAGGATACGAGCTTAAGGCAGATCCTTGATGTAATCCAACTAAAATAGGAAAATAGTTGGTCTAACCTCCTTGTGTTTAAACATAAGTAACATCTCCTGCATACATATCCTTAATGACTTGAGTATAATCATTATTAACCCATTTATTTTCTAAAACTCTTCATAGCACTTCTCTTGGAACTTTATTATAAGCTTTCTCTAAATCAATAAATATCATATGTAGATCCTCCTTTTTCTCTCTATACTTCTCCATCAAACCTCTCACTAAATGTATAACTTCCATAGTGACCTACCTGACATGAATCCAAATTGATTTTGAGAAACATTAGTATCACGTCATAACCTATCTCCATAATTCTCTCCCATGGTTTTAAAGTATGACACATTAACTTAATTCCTTTATAATTTCCACAATCTTGTGCCATCTTTATTTTTAAAAATAGGAATCAACGTAACTCAACTCATCTAACATTTTTTTAGTCTTCAAAATAATATTAAAAAGTTTAGTAAGTCAAGAAATCCGTTCATTTCCTTAGCATTTTCACAACTCTATTGAAATATTCTCAGGTTCAATAGTTTTTCTACACTTCATTTTCTTTAAAATCTCTTTAACTTCGGTTTACTAATAACCCAATATAAACAAAAATAATAATTTTTATTTAGGGTACTAAGGTCACTAAAGTCAATCGTATTCTCACAATCTTCATTGAAAGCTTAGCAAAATATCTCATCCACCTTTCTTGAATATTTTCGTGTGATAAAAGCATTTTTTTATCTTCATCCTTAATGCACTTCACTTGAACTAAATTTTTAGTACTACCATCTCTTTGTTTGGCTAATTTATACATATATCTTTCGCCCTCATTAGTATTTAATATATTATATAGATCATCAAAAGCTAAAATTGTAGCATCACATATTATTTTCTTTGACTCCTTACAAACCTCATTATATTTTTCCCAATTTTTAGAGTTCTTACATCTAAACCAGTTTTTTATAACAAACTAAACAAAGCTTCTTAATTTTTATCTTCTCTTGTACATTTTGATTCCACCGCCAACTTATTTTACTAATAAGACATTTTCTTTCTGACACTTCAAGCACGTCCTTTACAACATTCTTAATATCATTAGCTATTTTTTTCCACATAATATTAACTTTTTTATGCACATATAAAATCTTAAGATCTAGAATTTTACTCTTAAAAATATTTTTGTTAGTGTTTTTTAAATACTTTAATTTAATCTTAGAATAACATTTTACTTTCTTTTTTCTATTCTGCCCCTTCATCTTAAAGTCTAAAACTAATAAGCGATGTTGGACACATAAACTTTCACTCGACATAACTTTACAATCTTTGAAATCTAATAAGCGATGTAGTATTCCCTTCGAAAATCTTCTGGTCTTATTTCTTTATGTATCTTTGGTCTACCCCTCTTCCTTTCCTATCCTCCCTTCATAGTAATTATCTCTCCATGACAACGAATAACAAACTGTAACCTAAATGGAAAACCATGCTTGATTATCTGCTCAGTTAATGTTTCCTCTTGCAGTATTTCGTAGGTTTTGATGAATTGTATCATCCCAACCAACAGAGCTAGATTTTGGCCATATTTCTTGGTGTCTCAATTATCAAGTTTTCCTTTTGCTCCTGGATGAGCGTCAAAACATGTTTGTGTTCCCAAGATTTTAATGATCCTTTTTTAAATCACATTGTATCCTTCGTTACTTAAAGCAAATGGTTACCTTTCTCTTATTGAGATATGATGCTAAGTGTAGCTTTTCCTTTTATAATGGACATGTTGGCTCATGCCTCTCGCCCTCTATATTTTAGTACGGATATTATTTACCGTGCATGTTATATTCACTTGAATTACTTTTCTACCACTTTTTTGATGTCTTATATTAACATTTTAGAAGGATACCTTAAGTTATTGGTTCCCTGCAGGCACCTTATTTGCTCACGAAGTTGGAGTCTGCTGAAAGAACCTGGAAAGATTTATCAGTACGCGCTATCAACACATGAATTTTTTTGGCTGTTAAGCTGTTATAAAATTTTTATTTTATTTTATTTTTTTGTTGGGATGATTGAGAATTTGGCCTTTTGTTGGGAATATGACTGAAAACTTCTCATTATAAACGTGCATTATCAAAATTTTATAAAAAGCAAGACAGATTGGCGGATAGGTATGAGCAAGTTCTCCAAACATGTTACTCATAGCCAGTAAAATTGACATCTAGTTACCTAGCTAAATTGAATTAACTAGTTAACTACTTCAGTATTGCCCACTTGATTGTTCGTCTCTCTCCTACCTATGAGGAGAAATCTGAGACTAACTAGGCTGCGATACATATATTTGGCCCTAGTTGCTCAAGCTAGAAAATCATGACGGTAGAGCAGGATAAATTATGGTAACATAGCAAAGAAACACAGTTTGACTTTCAGATTAAAAAAAAAAAGAAACTGAACTGGCCAAATAAATTTGCAGGGAAAAGAAATCTAACAAATAAAACACATTGATGTTGACTGCCACTTTATTTGAGATCAATGAAGGTTTTTTCTCACATTCCCAACTCTGAAAATTTGAAGAATATTTTTAGCATTGATATATATTCACTTTAGTCTTCAATCTATCTAATAATCTTGAGCTAATTTATATATGCTTTAGCTTGAGAGGATGTATTGTTAATGTAGGAAAAATCATTTTAGTTAACTTCTCTAAATATGGTTAATGGAGTATATTTATTTTGTTGTACTTTGGTCTATTGTTTGATTTTTCTGATATAAATAATGGAACCCTCTAGTGAATAATACAGAGTTATTTTTCCTTTAGTCACACAATAGTCTTGCCTATATTTCTTCTCTCTCCTTAGGATGGGGCGTTAACCTATTTTTTTGTAGACATTGACCCAATCCAAGCTAAGTTAATCTACATGAATTGTTTTATTTCATAATTTGAAATGCACTGCATGAACTTCACATGGCAAAGTGCATAGCGCTAGCTTCGAGGCATGAAATATATTCTTTATTCCATTTGAATCCAACCGGCTTAACTGCCTTGTATTTTGTATTGGAATAATCTTTTATACTTTTCATAAGAATGATTTAGCATTTTTGCTTGCACTGCAGAGCAAGCTCGCTGATCCTGATATTGTATCTAATCCTAGCGAGTATCAAAAGCTCGCACAATCTGTGGCAGAACTTGATGAGGCAAGCCTTTCTTATAAGATTCCTTGTAACGATATTTCTATAGCATTTCACATTGAGCTTGAAAACATTTCCTTTGTATAGGCTATTTATTTATTTATCCATTTTTTACTGAAGTGACAGGTCGTAGCTTACTACAAGAAGCTTAAGGATTGTGAGAAACAACTAGCAGAAACAATAGGTTGGTCACTGTTTGTCATGTTTTTACTTCTATTTGCATATGATAAAGTTCTTCTTGTGTTTTTCTTATAGCTCTAGCAAAAGAGGAAACGAGTGACCCAGATATGGCAGATATGATCGTTCATGAAATTGGAATGCTATCAAATCAAGTCAAAGAGCTTGAAGATAAGCTGAAGGTTGGGACCGACTTTAATTTTTTTTTACTTTTGATCGATATGATTGTTTGCTTAAGTCCTTTAAGTTAGGTGGCACAGCATTCTGTCGCCACCAGCTAAGTTTTCCATCTCTCTTTATAAGCTTGCAATCTTACTTTAATACCCCAACTACAGCCCTTGAGATAATAGAGTGGTAGCAAAGAATTTGTATGGCCGACCCTGATTGTTTGTGTGAATGTGATCTTGATTAAGATGCAGCAATATCAAAAGATTGATTCATTTATCGGTCTGCATTTACATATTCATTCTATAAATTAAAATGAACACTTGAATGATTCCAAAGTCAGTGATGTTGGTGCTACCAAGACTGGTTGGTTTAGCCAACTGGTTTCATCTACCGGCCCAACTTAGATTTTTTATGTTTAATCCTATTGGTTGTTATCCTAGTCATCAATAGAATTAGCTCTTATCCTATCCTAGTCATAAAGGGGCTCAATTCTTATACATAGAGTTTCCTCTTTCTATTGTAGTTCAGTTTTTTATTAGAAATAAAAATTTCAAAAATTGATTTTCTGGTTTTGTTTTTTCCTCTATATCTTGTAGTCTCTTCCAGGTGGTGGTCGTCCTCCTCCACCGTTTGTTCCTCCACAACACAGCCGCCATGCTTGTAGTCTTCGTCTCTACCACCCCTGCAGCAAGCATAGTCCCTGTCCAACCCTTCCATTGCTAGAAACCCTCCAGCATTATGATACGCCTAGCCTAGACCAGCCCTGATTGTAAAACCCGCAAAATGCCATTTTAGACCTCGCACACTTTTCAAAGCGCCGCAACGAATTTTAAGTGAAAAATTCAAGGTTGTCGGTTTTCGACGGGAATATTTTTATAAAATCCTACGCAAAATTCTGATCGTTTTGATATATATAACCCATATTAAATTATGAGTATTTTGGGAATTATTAAATTCGGAAGATCAGAAATGCCAACTTTACCCCTAAGCTTTTAAAAGGTCGAATTTGCTTAAGTGAGGGCAATTAGGTCATTTGGCCAATCCCATTTCTCCCTATTAGGCAAACCAAAACCTCCCCACTCTCCCCCATTCATTCATTTCGCCCAAACCGAGCGGACATAGGAGAGGGATAGGCGAACGGGCAAGGCGACTAGGAAGCTTCGGGCGGCAGTTTCCGGCGGTCGTTCGCGGAGAAAATCATAGGGAAATCCAAGGGAATGCTAAGGTAAAATGTTTGCTTGAGTTTTCTCCTTCTTTCCTTGAGTTTTCTCTAAAGAAATGAAATTAGGGTTTTAGGAAAACTTGAGCTTTCTTTAAGATTCATTTGAGAAAAGTTTAGGGAAGGGTTAAGGGATGTTTTTAAACCCTAATGTGAGTTGTTTTTATGAAAATACGAATTTTGGAAATTAGGATTTTACTTAAAATTGTTCTTCTTTGGAAATGCTTTCACAAGAGATGTTTCTAACGACATAGGGAAGTTTTTATGGGAAAACATTGTAAGGTTGATGCAAGTTTTTGAGTTTTGAAATTTACGGTTTTTCCCTAATTAAGGAAATGTTTATCCTCATAGTTCTAATGGGCTTTTGGAAGGATTTTAGAGACTATTGTAGGGCTTTTTCATGTAATGCAAGTTTTTCATAATTTTGGTTTACTCTAATTCAAAAATTAATGATATTTTAATTGTATTTTGAGTGAGGGATATCATAGATGGTGGAGGGGTTTAATGTGAAATCATAGACATGACATTAGAAAGAACTCTTTATTACCTTAGATTAAGGATTTAGGAAATTGTGTAGGGACTAATTTACTTATGCATTTTTGTATGTCTCTTCTAGATATTAATCGTGTGGAAGGAAAGGATTTGACCGGACAAACGAAAGATGTGCACGAGTTGGGGTAGGTGGAATGGACATTCTTCTAAATTTAGAAAATTCTTCTTTCATGCAAATACATAGAAATAGCAATTTCTCTTATGCTCATTATGATATTCTTTTGACTCATGTTCCCTTGTATAAGTTCATGAACACTTGATGCAAATGTAAAGGTTTCTTTTATACAATTGAACAACTCATGAATGATTCTCATGCTCTTTTCTTTATATGTATTACACTTATCATTCATTTACATGCAAATGAACACATAAGCATAGCAAACATGTATATCATTATGAAAGCATATATTTGAATAGTTTACTAAAGCATCTCTTATGAATATGTAAGTATTAAGTGTATGTGTATGTTGACGCAGAAGTATCAAATAATAAAGGAGGCTTTTATGAGCCATGGTAAAGGAGGCTCTTATGAGCTATGATAAAGGATGATTTTTATGAACCAATGGTAAATGAATGACTAATTTTATGTACCTGATCAGTACAAGTGATACTTCCGAGACGGGTGTTATATTTACATATTAAGCTATTATGAACATTTCATATTCATGTTATATGCATTTGAGACTATCATTTGAGGCATAATATTTTAAAAAGAAGAATGAAAATGTTATGAAATGAATAAGAACTTAAAGGTTGAGGTAAAGACATGCATCTCCTTAAAATAAAAGTTGATATATGTTGATTATTCTTTTGTTAAAATACCAAAGCACGTTGATGGTTCTAATCCTTCTATTCAAACATCAAAATAATAAAACAAAACCTACCGCCCGTCGTCTCCCTACGACGGTACGTGAGGGGAGGTCTATCCGCCATCTATCCTTTACTAGATCCTCCTGAAAAGTATCCCACAACATGGGTGAGTCACAACTCAATAGGTGCAAATGAAATTCAATTAAATTTAAAGTCAAGAGAAGAAAAATATAACATGCATTGGCATTTTAACAAAAGAATCATCAACATGTAGCAACTTTTATTTTAAGGAGATGAATGTCTTTACTTCAACCTTCAAGTTCTTATTTCTTTCATAACATTTTCATTCTTCCTTTTAAAATATTATGCTTCAAATGATAATCTCAAATGCATATAACATGAATATGAAATGTTCATAGTAGCTTAATATGTAAATATAACACCCATCTTGGAAGTATCACTTGTACTGATCAGGTACATGAAATTGACCATTCCTTTACCATTGGTTCATAAGAACCATCCTTTACCATGACTCATAAGAGCCTCCTTTACCATTGCTCAAAGAGCTCCCTTTACCATGTGATACTTTCGCGTTAACATGCACATACACTTAATACTTATATAATCATAAGAGATGCTTTATGTAAACTATTCATAAACTATTCAAGTGTATGTTTTCATAGGGATATACATGCTTGTTATGCTCATGTATTTATTTGTATATAAAGAGAAAAACATGTGTAGTACAAGTAAAGAAAAGGGCATGTGATTCATTCATAAGTTGTACAATTGCATAAAAGAAACCTTTACATTTGCATCAAGTGTCCATGAACCTATACAAGGGAATATGAGTCATAAGAATATCATAATGAGCATAAAAGAAATTGTCATTTTTATGTATTTGCATGAAAGAAGAGTTTTCTAAATTTAGAAGAATGTCCATTCCACTTACTCACTCGTGCACCTCTTTCGTTTGTCCGGTGAAATCCTTTTCTTTCACACGGTTAATATCTAGAAGAGACATATAAAAATGCATAAGTAAACTAGTCCCTACACAATTTCCTAAATCTTTACTCTAAGTTTATAAAGAGTTATTCCTAATATTATGTTTATGATTTCACATTAAACCCCTCCACCATTCATGATATCCCTCACTCAAAATACAATTAAAATATCATAAATTTCCAGATTAAAGTAAATCAAAATTATTAAAAACTTGCATTTCATTAAAAAAAAACCCTATAATAGTTTCTAAAATCCTTTCAAAAGCCCATTAGAACTATAGGGATCAAAATTCTATGATTAGGGAAAAAGTCCTAAATTTCAAAAATCAAAACTTTTCACAACCCTACATTATTTTCCCATTAGAAGCTTTCTTAGGTTAATAGGAACTTCTTTTGTGAAGGCATTTCCAAAGAAAACAATTTTTGAGTGAAACCCTATCTTCCAAAAATTCATATTTTTCATACAAACATCTCACATTATGGTTTAAAAACTTCCCTTAACCCTTCCCTAAAACTTTTCTCAAAGAAATATCTCATTTATTCAAAAACCTAATTTACAAAACACAATTTATTCTTATAAAACTTAAACCAAAGTCTATAATTATCTTCCAAAAATCATTAGGAAACATCTTTGTGAAGGTATTTTGAAAGAAAATAATTTTTGGAGAAAACCCTAAAATTTCTCTTTCCAGAAATCTTGAGAAAGAGAGGGAAAGTCATAATTCTATGACATACCTTTTCTTTCCCTTTACTTACTCTTTGATTTCCCCAAAATTTCTCGCCGGAAAAGGTCGCCGGAGCCGCCTGTCGCCTCTCCCTTCTCCGTCTCTTCCGTCTGCCTTTCTCTCGGTTTCGGCCGAACGAGCAAACAGGGGGGTATTCGGTCCCCTTAGGAGGGATGGGGGCTAGTTCCATTGCATAAAGACACAAATACCCTCACTTAAACCATATTTTCTTTAGTATTGACTAAGGGTACTTTGGGTAATATTAGACTTTGGAAATTTTTATCTCTCAAATTAAGAGAAATTAGATATAAGTTCTATATATCAATTCGCTCCAAATTTTTCGTAGAATTTTATAAAAATATTTCCGTTGAAAACCAACAACCTTGAATTTTTCACTTAAAACTCGCCGCGGCGCTTTGAAAAGCGTGCGAGGTCTAAAATGACATTTTGCAGGTTTTACACCTAGCCCCGACCTAACCAACCATGTGGCTGGGCGGAGCTATAGCAGGAGGGGAAAGTTCGGCCCCCTTTGTGGAGCCCAGAGGAGTTATTGCTCATTATGTCATAAGGAGGAATCAAGGGGGAGCTGTTTATGAAGGTTTTAGTTTAAGAAAAGAGCACTAATTTGAATTAGGAAATTTTTTATTTAGGAAAAGAAGACTTATTTGAATTCAAATTTAGGAGGGAAGTAAGAATGATTATAT